TAGAATTGTTTAGCCTCAAAATATTCTCAATCTCTCTTCTTTTTTTTTTTTTTGGGGGGGGGGGGGTCATCATCTTATACAAATAATACAATGGTCCAGAATTGATCTCTAATTATATAACTGTACATTCAGAGACTTGAACCTTATTGCATTAACTTCTGTCTACTAATTCTTCTCAATCCTTCTCATAAGTTTACAAAATCTTACAAAATAATCTGGTTATACAATTCCTTTTTTGATTGTGTTGACCTTACTCTTTAGAATATTTTAGAACCTGTTTTGCAACTAAATCTCCTTTATTTGGTTCTAATTGTGGTTTAATTTTTTTAAAATCATATTGTCAGTCTTCCAGAAATGGTGACAACTATTTACAAGTTTACATCAAATTTTTATTGAAAAATCAAATTGATTGTTTTCATAGGTCCTTGACCAAATGAATAAGATGTTTCCCATGAGCAAATCTAACTGAGCTTATTACCTGCTACAATAACCTGAAATTCTAAAGAAAATATGCATTCAATTTGACATGTTTGTGTGTACATTTGTTAACTATTAGAATGCAGGATGTAAATAGGTAATTTTTGTTGTTTTTCCAGGGTAGGAATTTCCAGGGTAGGAATTTGACATGTTTTTTTTCTCTTCTCATTTGAGTGAATTAATTTAAAGGAAGCAAATTTATTGTCCTAATGCCAGATTAATGAATATAAATGAGTCAGAATGAATCAGGAGAGCTGAGGTATTTGTTTCTAGTTCATCGTGACTGTGCCATGGACCAGTGATGGCCTGGTGGTAGAGTCGCTGCCCGGCAAGCAGTGGTGGATGGCAGGTTCAAATCCCTGCTGGTTCCAAGATTTTTTCTGACTTTTTTTCAATTACAGATCGATCAATTGATCTCATTTACTGGGTGTAAGCCACAAATATGTTTAAACAAGTGAATACATTGTTCTTGAGTGTTATGATTCATAGAGAGCTCTGTTCATTGGCTTTCGATTGTCAATCTGTTAGGTCATCCAACGGCCAATACTAATATACATTCAATATTATATAACATCTGCTTAGTGCATTAATGGCGTTAACTTTTAATCAAAATATAAGGGCTAATCTCCATTAGATTACATTAGGCCAATTTACACATAAAAAAAAACATTGTTGATTTTTTTGGACTACCACTTACACTACTGGAGAAACCCGTAAAAAAAACGGCAACGTTTGCTCGTTCTGATTTTTGGGTGAGTACTGCCATGCTCGACTTGTCGCTACCCTGCATGCGATAGCACTGAAGCGAGGCGCTGTATGCAACTACCGATGAGTTGAAACACTGCAATGTGAGAAAAATTGATGATTTTTTTTTTTTGGCTCGCAGTATAAATGCAGCTCTTATTGCTGCTGCCCTGCCTGTGGCAGCTAGGCATGTCCTTGGTAGTCTTTTGTCTCAATGTTGGTGAAAAACTACACTTTTCGGATTTTCAGACACAAGAGGATTACATACGTTTGTTGTTGTTGGTACAATGCAGAGATACTTGAGTGGTTTAATGTCTACTGTGACTCAATGCCATGCTGTAGTGTGGGTTGAAATGGATATATGGCCGACTAGTTTAAAATGAGTGTCCCCCCCCCCTGAATTATTGTTTTGTTCAATGCAGATGTCTCAGTTTTCTTTACCATTTTTATATTTCCTTCTCATTCTCTTTCCCTTCTTCTTTTGTTATATTTTGACCTGCCCTCCATATTTCATCTTTCTTTTTTGTCACTGGCTAATTTTTGTCTTCTTTCTTCCGTGAAATAGCTCACAAACCCCAAATCTAAGCTGTTTTTAAAAGTTATTATCATTATTGAATTACATTTTTCGGCAATACATTGCTCCTCCTTCCCTCCCTCCCTCGCAAAGAATTGGTTGAATCGTAATAAATGTGTACATCATTCTGTTCATTGGTTCTATAGCTCAAGCTTTGGAGTACAGCTATCACTTAATTGCATTATAACATCTATATTAAATACTTTTTTTTAAAAGATCATAAGTGCTTTCTACTTTATTCCAGACGTTGTGGATTCTTATGAGAAGTGCCTAAAAGTGATTAGAAAATTTGCAACAGATTCAATTTTGTGCACATGTTAGTTTAAAGAGGTCTTAAAGTCCCCAGAAATGTCTCTGTTTTATTGGTCTTGTGTAAGTTAAACGTTTTATTTCAAGGCACTGAAAGGTCATCATACCACTGCCGATATCCAGAGCAATTGTGCTAAACATTTCTTATCTCTCTCTGCTAATATTGGAAGAGAAATAGAAGCAAGATATGGATATATTGAAATAAAGGAGTTCAAAGTTTCTTGATAAGGGATGGATAAGAAACAATCTAGGCCAATTACAAAGCCACTTAAGTGATACATGATATGTACAAAGTCTTCATTTGAAGTCCTTCTGGAGTCTTTCCACATGTCATGTTCTCACATCATGGTACATAGTACTAAATGGTTCACATGCTGTTGTTGATGGCCTACATTAAAACAAAATCAAAATGTTAAGTCCTTTTTGTCACTAGCACTTTATTAAATTAATGAATATCATTGATCTTTATGAATTAGTGGAGTTTTAAGAATCAAATGGACAATATATTCATGCATATATTATATTATATTTCATTTTATTTATTTATTTCCATGAAAGACACAGGTAAACAAAATTATATAATCTTCAATACAAACATATAATGACATATCTGAGGTGGGAGGATCATGAAAAGCACTAAAATGGCTGGTTAAAAATGATATATTTATATATAAGTTCCTACACATAACATGCAGCATTTTTCTTGAAGTCATCTTAATGATCTATGGATAAAATTGTTTTTTATGGGAATCATATATTTGAACTACAATATCATTTTTGATAAAATTGCCTATTTACTTATTGCTGTTTGAAGTTGTTTCATTATTTTTTTCCTGCATTTTGTCTATGAAATACTTCGTTGACTTTTTTCATTTTTTATCTTCAGGCGTTATATTGTTCTTGACTTGGTATATAAATGTTTCAGATTTCAATAACCGTGCAAGAAACAAACAAATACACAATACAAAATTTCAAAGTATTTCAATTTTAATGGGGCTATTGCTGTGGTCAACTGCCAATTTGAGTACATCCTCTTGCACTCGGTTGACGTTGACGTAATCTACAAACCTCCATTGTTGATACCTCATGCCAACTCCTACTGCGCTTAATCCATGCAGGGGGGGGGGGTCTAAGATTTGTGCGATATCCTGATCCGATACTTTTCTTTGGTATTGCGTTTCGTTTGACATTCTCTCCACTGAAAAATACTTCAATTTTTAAAGGCCATTCACTCATTCATAAATATAAGTCTTAACTGTTTTTACTTCCCTTTTTATTGAACTGGAGCTTGTTTTTCTTCCTGAAACTGATATTGGTAAGATGGTTACATAAACTACTAAGTTTGATTAAAAAGGATGTATTTTAATACAGAGTAGAGCAACGCTAAGAAGAAATAAACAATTCTTAAGAACTCTTGAAATTTATTCCATGATAAATCCATTTACCCGTAAGCTTTTTATACTTGTACTTTGTGTACAAACTTAATTATGTTTCTCATTAATTTCTTCAACCATTGTCCTGGCTTTTGCTTTTACCCGTCAGTCTAATATGACATGGATACAAAATGCAGAGTAAAGCCACTTTGAGTTCAGGTCATATCAATATTTGATCTTAAATGTATTACATGTATTTGCAAACAGACCCTCTTTTGAGACTGATAACAACAAATACAAGATTTCAAAGTATGACAATGGGAAAAAACGAGTTACAAAACCAAGGACATTTCCAACTTATAATGTCTATTTGTCTAAATTCAGATCATCTTCAAAATCTAGAGCAAAAATTACCAGTGTTCAAAGTTTTTTTCTTTGTGTCTTGAAATGAGCTATCATCTGAAGTCAAATAAGGGGAGTGGCATTAGTGCTTGAGTGGGAAAAATATCGAGGAGAGTGTTGGATTTGGGGCGACTTTATAGTCATACTAGCATAGAATACAAAGAATTTCCATGGTGGTATTTGTATTCCAAAGGGCAGACTGTTCTCAAGTCTGCCTCAAAAAGTTGGAAGAGATAACAATAGAATGTACTGTTATGAAATCTGTTAGTCTGACTTTTGTCTGACTTTCTTAAATGTATGTTATCTTTTTTTTAAAGAGATGTATACTTAAATGATAACCGAACCATAAACAGTAATATGGCATCTATACATAACAATGTATTTTTGCTGTTATGGTTTGTTTGTATTTGTGTAATTGATTGTTTATGTTTTGTATTAAATCATTTGGTAACTGGAAAAAGGGAATGAAATTGTATTCATCTAATCAGAGACAAATGCCCCCCCCCCTCCCTTCTTTCTCCCTCCCCCCCCCCCCCCTCTCTCTCTCTCTCTCTGTCTCTCTCTTTGTTTTCAGGGAGAGGGGGGGGGGGGGGGCGGGTATTCTTCCATATAATTGCACATACCTTTGTCATGTGATGATCAACATTAGGTTATGTGCAAATATTTATCTTGTGATATTGAAATGGTTAACAATGGGATCATACCTTGTTGGTTGTTTTAACGGTAATGATAAATAATGGGAGACACATTCCACTGTCTCATATTTTGACCAATGTCACATTGAATTTAGATGTCCCTTCAGAATATTGTTAACCCATTCAAAGAGTTCGAGCCCGAGTTCAATAATTCCGGGATAAATTTTTGGAAATACCATGCTTAATAAAGATTTAAATGTCTTGAAGATGTTACGAGTGTAGAAAAGATCATCCGTGTCTCGAATCAAAATGAATCCCAGCCCAACATTCCAATGCCAGTTCCAGGGTATTTGGCACAAACCTCAGAAAGTACTGGGTATTACAAATTGTATTCTAATTGCATTATATCATTGAATGAAGTAAAGTTGTCACATACAATTAACCAAGGTCTTTCTCTTTTGCTCTCTTTTCTCTTTTGTATCACAGAAATGGGCCTCCATTATTCTGCATGTATCTTTCTGCCAAGCCAGCCAGCCATAGTGTGTGAGAAAGCCAAAACGTCTATTATGCATGTTCAGCTAAAAAGCAAGAAAGCAAATCAGCAAAGTAGCAGCAAAATGCAACAGGATCCTTTTGCCGGGTGAAAAAAAAATGACAAAAATATAAATATGTTAATAAGATTAAGATTATAATATATGAATAGCCTTTCTATGAATGCATGGTGCCCAAGTATGGTTAAGAATGATGCTTAAAAATGTTACAATTTTCAAACATGATGTTATATAAGACTTAATGAATGTATCATGTTTTTGCCTTATGAAATTTGTTTTTGTATTTGAGTGTTTCGTCATGTCCAGTCGATAATGTAGAGTAAAGCTTTTGCCAAAAGTTGGAATCAAAGTTGTAGACTGTAATTGTTCTCTCTCTCAATGAATGTGATTCACTTTTTATATGGCACAGTGACAAGCAGTTCCAGAACAATACCAATTGTATGCGATGTGATAATGGAGTGTGTTATACCTATGAAATGTGGGAACATTGCAAAGTCCTTTCACATAATTGCAAATCAAAATATTAATTCTGTAGACGAGACAGTAAGATATAGAAAATATTTGTAGAGGATGGTGATTCATGTTTTTGACTGCATTATGTAATTGATAAGACACTATTTAAGATGCAGAAGAAAAAAATCAAAAGGCATGATGAAGTGAACAAGTATCCTGTCGGCCGAGAGCAAGACGACCATTAACATTAACTCTGCGTAATTGTGCATGAGGCAACGCCATCCGAGCTCTAAGCAGTTGTCCGGTTTGTTGTAAAGAAAATGAAATCAACCATCTAATAAATGATAAGAACTACATTAGATGGTTGATTTCACTTTCTTCACCGTTCAAGACTTTCAGTCCTCGCTTCTTAAAGCTCTGTGTATTCCAATCTAAATTCCAAGAGACTTTCCAAATAATTTTTGGTCATATACCATTCTTCAACACTTGTTCACAACAACTACAACACCCATTGAAAGCATTTCAAAAAGTTTCAATATTACATTTTGCAATTGATCATGTCTCGTAGAGCCTAAGCGTAGTGTTAAAAAGTCATTGTTGTAATATTCAATTTTTCTCCACCTTTGATTCTGGTATACTTTGGTATCGGCCTCATTCAGCTGCCAGCAGGTCTTGGCATATCATCAGGACTTTGATGTTGTATATTTGTAATCCAGGGTTTCTCGTTCTGGTGATCATTACCATACATGCACAATGTAGTGACATCTGTTTTTCAATGTACTGGTGAATTGTTAATGATTTCAGTATTTTTCAGTATTCTTCATTTCTTACACAGTAAATTCAGTTCTTTACCTTCAGGTATGAAATGTTTATAGGGTGTATCAATATTTAGTTGACATTCACAGTATTCTGTTGTATGAAAAAGACAGCAAAAGTATATTGTAACATCAAAGAAAAGTAACTTCATCGCAGTACCGGTATAAGCAAAAAACATTTTGCTACACATCACTTTGCTAATGTAATAATAACCTTGATATTGTAGTTGAATCCAATATAGGTAATTATCCTTTGATTTTTTTTTAAACATTAAGTATTTATAAAATTCCTTAATTATTAGCATTACATCAATGAGATGTTTGTCATTTTTTATATGCATTTCAGATTGAAGAAAAAAAATGTTTAATGAGTTAGCAATGTATTGTCTGTTTTGAGCCAGAATGGTATTAACTCTGTGTAAATTCATTTGAGTTAACACCACTTTAGCTCCAAACAGACAATATTGTCACATCCTTTTGGACTAAACGCTGCCTGCCATCTAGGGTATTTTGGGTGCAAATATTCCATCAAATTTACAAGATCCATTCATAAAAATCAAGAAAATCTATACATGAAATGATGACATTTAAGTCCAGAGATGAATTAATTGGATTAATTATCAATTTATTATTAATTATACATTTTTCAAATAAATTATGATATCAGAGGGGGTAGGAATGAGTGTTTTGAGTACTAATACCAACGCATAGTCTCTGTACTAACTTACATCAGTGCTCTTTATAGCTGTAGTTAGTGTGGAAATATCATTAGTACTTGAAGAAAATATGCAAATCAAAATGGATTTTTGATGATGCAAATCTGGCTTTTTATTTTAGAAACTCCATACCCAAGAAAATTTGACTTTGAGCAATATTTGCATGGTTCCAGCCCATTTGTGATTTATTGTAGAGAATTTGAAATAAGTGGAATTATGCCATAAAAATTGTCATTGTCTCAAGACCGCTTTAAGTTCACACACTTTAAGAAATATTTCATTATTTTGTCTTTTATTACAAAAAGTCTGATTTTTATCCATGTGGAATTGCTCATTATTTTGGGTAGCTTGAGAGACATGTCAGTATGCAATGATATTTATACCTTCTGTAAGTTCTGTAAAACTGAAACTATTATGTAACAGTAATTGTATATATCTAAAGCAATAACATATATATGCATGGTTATCAAGAAAGCATTATCCATTATAAAATACATTGTATATATTTCATACCAAACATTATATAATCATGCATTTATTGAGAAAAAGTATTGTATTGCATCCACAAGTCATTGCACACATGCTGAATATTTGCATGTGTTCTTTACATGTGTTCTTGGACTGCACTAATGTGGGAAAAATTCAATACATGGTCTTTGCATCATCATTTGTATTTAGATGAGAATTACCACATTATAATCCATTAAAATGGAAATAAATGTATTTGGCTATTTCAGGGTTTTTTCTACCAAAGTAATAATAGCATACTTTCTTTCTAAATGTGAGGGCAGGTCAAAATGTGATTTACAGTGTAAACAAATGTATACGGTTCTTTCTCTTTATAACTTTCATTATCATTCCCTTGTTAAAGTCGTTAAGGCATTGCATTCCAAACTTTTCATTCACTTTGATGATCTGATGTCAGATGATCCTAAGCAAACAATTCAAAACAAAGACTTATTTTGTTTGAAAGAAAAAATGAACCTCAATTATTACCCAGATTTTCAATCAATTGAAAAGTTGGTGAGCATGGTCTGCTAAATGTCTTGAACAAATCTATTCCAAACCATTCAAAAAACAGTATTCAGCGTGCCTAACCTCTAACGGTGTGTGTTATTTGAGTGTCTTCATTATAAATCAAACAGTAAATATACTACGGATACAAAGTAACATTTCATACTCTGACAAAACTGGTATACAGTAAAAAAAAAAAATCACTATGTCTTATGGGCAATTAAATATTTATCGCTTGGATTAGTATATATTACTAAGGAATTATACCTATGTCTAAAAATATGATCACAGAGACTTTGGGAAAATCATCCTCAGGCAATTCCAGTAGCCTTGTCCATCTCCTGTTGAAATTTACAATCAAAACAATGATGTATATTACATAATCTGAATGTGGTTTCTGTGGGATATACAATAAGGTATTGACATAACCCCTAAGTTGATTTCTCTAGTCTTTGTAATGGTGTTATATTCTGACCAAATAACTTTGATACGTTTTTACAATTTCCAACCAAAAAAAATACCTCAATGTGTTCTACAGGTAGTCACATACTCCTGCAACATAATTGGAATCTTAACTATGGTGTGTGGATTTCAGTATTCAGACATGTACACAGAAATTGTTGATTTCAACTCTCAGCATTTTGCTTGTAAATTTCAAGTTCTTTCATCTTGTATTCATCATCATTCTCTTCTCTCAAAAATTCCATTCTTTTGTTATTCTTTTGTGTATCCATGAAAGGTAACTATATTTGTATGTAGATTATATTAACATGGGGGGGGGGGTTCCTTGATTTTAAAGCTATGATTGTTTTGTAGAGAGGTTAAGTTGACATGACAAACAGTTTTAAAAGTCAGTTTCTGAAACAGTTTTATTTTCTTCAAATCTGTTGATATATACAAGAAGCTTTCATATCGTCTGTTATGACCCGTTTGGAGCGAGAGGGACTTTAGTTTTTTTGTTAAAAGCACACTAATGCCCTTCTGGTTCCAAACAGTTGATATGTTCCATTTTTAACTTTTTGTAATGGATACAAAAAAAGAAATTCTCAATCGTCTTGAAGGCATAATCCACTGTTCTGATGTCTTCCCAATGAACTTATCGCAGCTTTTTCCAGGTATTTTCTCCAGGTATTTTTTCCAGTGTTTTTTCATTCCATTTATATATCTTCCATTTTCAATACTCTGCCTACTTTATATATAGTCATTTCTCTTTCGTAAGAATTTTATATATAACATTCCTCTGTATATCACCTGTATATTAAAAACCCTTTTCAACTGATGTATTCTATTTCTATTCAATGGTGGAATCCTTGTATTCTATTTTTCATAAGGTATATTCACAAAAATGTGCAAATTGAAAATACTGCTGTGTATGACTATGTTGGGTGAATTTATAAAATCTTGTTTTTTAAATCTTTGATATTCTCTTTTCAATCATGTTTTCAATCACTTTTTTAAAAGAAGATTTCATCAGTTGGTGGCAATATTACAAATCTATATTTGAATAACATCAACAACAACAACAAAAGCTTCCACTGTACTATATTTCACATAAAAATCTCCTTTTGATCTAATTAAAGTGAAATTGTGGTACAAATGTTAGTGAAAATTGTAAATTAGTTTAAAACAAAACAATATGCAAGGGGCGTTTTTGCCTGCAAATTATATTATACATTAACCTAAAACTTGCCAGGTTCTTTAGTTCTTTACACAAGTTTAATGTTGACCATTTTAAAATTTTGTTCATGATATGTTTCTGACATTATACTGTCTTTTGGCTTGTTTAATTCAATTTATTTCTAGCTTGGTTTCTTAGTTTAGTCATCCTGTAACGTTATGAAACAAAGTTATCATAAGAAAAATCACCAAAGAATACGTGAAATGGTTTAATTGTAATAATTCTATCATTTGGTTCATGGATTGTTTAATTTGAAATGGTAGAGACCTTAATCAAGTTTTCAGAATAGAATGTATGCTGTACACTGTAAAATATTTACAGCCTAAATTCTAAGAACTGAAAGGCTTTGAAAGGTTTTCAAATGATAATGATGCCAATTTTTTGTTGTAGTTGAAACATATTCCTACTTATATTTTTCTTTTCATTACTATATTTTTTTCAAAATGCATCTAAGAGTTTTTGTCATTGATTATGTTCTATTATGTGTAAAATTGCATTTAGTCATTTCTTTATGTATGTAAAGGGACAAATTTTGTAAATAAAAATAAATAAAGCTTGTCAGATTGCAGTGATGTACACAATAAAAGGCTGTGGTGAGATTATAAAGTAAAATTGTCACTTTTTTGTTAACGTCTTCTCTTCGTTGCTGTGTTAACTATAAACAGTGGTTCTTCTCTTCGTGGCTGTGTTAGCTATAAACAGTGGCTTGAATGAGTGAGATGAAGTTTAAAATAATAATCTTTTGGAAATGTAGCTGAGGAGGATTAGAGGGAAGGAAAAAGAGGTAGAGAATGAAGGTGGAAGGAAAGATTAAGAGGTAATAAAATGGGAAGAGTATAAGTCGTAAAACATGAAAATAAAGGGATCAACAGTTTTTGTTTTGTTTTGTTTTTCATGCATGATTTTATACAGATAAAAAAGAGATTGCAAATTTCACATGAATTTAGAGAACAAAATTAAGAGCTTAAGACAGAGAGGAAGGGGGTTAAAGAAAAGAGACGTGGAGACATTTTATAAAAAGAGATGAAAAATAGACGGGGAAAGGAGAAGAAAACAGCAACGAGAAGATATGGAGGCAGAGAGGAAATGATAGCTTGAGATTTAATAAAAGGAGAGATGGAAAGATATATATATTATATACAGAGTGAGGGCGATAATAATGTGAAGACAGAAAAAGAATAATGGTAAAGAAGGAGAGAAAAAAGGAATATTAAGAATTTTCAATGGACGAGAAGGAAATTTCCCAAACTAGCCGAACTAAATATATTATACAGCAACTGGCAAGAGGTGGCGCTCTTTATGAATAATTTCAGACCAACATCTATTTCGTGCAAACTCGGAGAGAGGAACCCAAACACTTTTGATAAACGAAATGTTTAAATATCATTAAAGCACTTTCCCCATTTCTTTCACCAACGTACAAAACCCGTAATAATAACCTTCCTTAAACAAATCATTTATGTTTTTGAGCATTTTGATACAGATTGAGAGGAAGAAAAAAAGTAGAAGAAGGAAGTAGATTCAAACTAGATGGAAAATTCCGTCAAGGTGTATACCATAACCTTTCATGCAGATTGCAAAGAGGGCGCTCCTCCTAAAACGTGAAGCTGCATCGTTGCCTCCGCAGATTTAGGACGGCAGATACCATTTCAGTATTGCTCATTGATTGCGACTATAGCCCTAAAAAAGCGGGAGCTAGGAGTGACAGGGGCTTGAGCCTTAAGGTAGATGCTCCAAGCACCCCCCCCCCCCCCCCCCCCATATCAAAGAGAAAATTGAGAGAGAAAGAAAGGGGGGAACATTACAAGAAAATGATTCAACTGACTTCCGCACCTTTTTTTTCTGGTCAATTACTCTGCTCCCTCATTAAGTGAACCCTTAGCCCTCCCCATCACCCCTATGCCCCTTCATAAGGTTTAGGCCCCTGCTATGCCTCTGGGTAATTAAATCGAAGGGAGTGAAGCCGTCTCAGTGACACCACCGCCACGAAGACAAAGAATGAAAATTTACCGGCTCGGTAAATCCTCCGGGAGTTAAATAATAAACTCTTTTAAATAATTTTTTAAAGAGCAACTTACAGTTTTAAACAAAGCTTTAAAATAAATCTGCATTACAATGAATATCGATTAAGGTGTTGGGGTTTCGGAACGAAATTAATGAGAGAAGAAATAGCGGTGGCCGATGGGCCTACCGGGCACTGAGTGCCTCTCCCCCATATAGGCCCATATAGTTCCCCAATATTTTGCTTGCCTCCTTTCATGTAATTATTGTGAAGAAATGATTTATATTCTCTAAAAACCGTATTGATCAATTTCTATTACTCTTTAGATTGATCAATAAAGTTCTGAGAAGATTTCAACTTTATCGATAAAAATATATCATCACAATCATGTTATGAAAAGCCGATAAGGAAAAAAAAATCCTACTATTTTGGCACAGTGTACATACATTTCTTTGATTCTATCCATTTCTTTGATTCTATCCATAATGCCGTGTAAAATAAACTTTGTGCTTCGTCAAAATGAAGACATGCTTATCAAAAGTAAAATTCATTGAGAAAAGAAATTGTTGATTTTAAAATGGCAAATCACGGGACATGGCGGGAGTGTGATAAACCCAGGGCCACGGCCGGGGAGGTGGGGCCCGTGCCGCGGTAGTGGGGTACAGTTTTTCAAGTTTTGAGCCAGTATTTAGCTCTCAAGGAAATTACTTAAAATTGATGCATTTTCTTCGATACATGCACTTTCCTTAAAATTTGACAGTTTTTTCTTTTCACCACGAAACCTCTAGCAGGAGAATAATAATAAGCACACATCGGTCGCTCAATAAAAGACGAGGGTAGGGAAGGGAAGAAAAGAGGGCAATCAATATTGAAAGAGAACCAAGATCAGGCTCTTAAACTAAAGGAATGGAAAAAAAGGTAGATGAGTAGAGTTTAAAAGAAGATTGATCAGAAGTTTGAGAGGAAAATAAGGTTGAAAATGGAAGGGAGGGGGTGATGGGGGTAAAATGGTAGTAAATCCCTGGAGATAAACAACAGAAATGGGAGAGGAAGAAGTCTGCTCAAAATGAAAAGCAACGATCGAGAAACTAGGTGAAGACGAAGAACGGCAATAAATGAGGGGAACCGTGTGCTGGAGAAGCAGTGTCATTATTCTTGCCGTACTTCTACTTCTACTTCTACGACGATACTCAGCAGGACCCATAAGTCAGGATGTAGTGCTGAGGAATAAACTATCTAGTTCTTACTTCCCCATTGCAGGAATTAAAAGAAGAAAAAAAATTCAATCAGCAAAATTGTATTGTATTTGCTCTTCATATTCCGTCATAGTATGAACGTAAACAATGCAAGAAGCATTGAGGACAAGTCCGTTGAATGAATGGATATAAGTTTTGGGAGAGTCCATTATTTGATGGTCCGTGTGAGAGCAACGTGAGGGGCATTCTACATTTTCGCAAAACATTTTGTACGCTTATACACCAAAAAATATCTATCATGGAATCAATTATACAGTTTAGATTTCAATCACTAAATATAGGTTACAATTGTGGTCTTTCGTTATTCGTTAACAAAAAAATGGGTGCATTTAATAAAACACTCGTACCTATAGATAATGAACCAAGTCTCATCGCGCCAATAAATCAAAGGCGCGGGCTTTGTGTATACATGTGTTGTGTATACATGACGCGACGTAGTATAGGTACCATATACTACACACGAGAAGTACACATTCACACATTCACATGATGTGTATTACGACGAGCAGCACGAAATCCTGGCAGAGAAGTACACATTGATCGCCAGAATATCCGTTCTATTTCTTCCAGGATTTTGATATTATATTGGAATTATACACAAGACAATTAAAGAATATTGTAAGTATTAAAATTACGCTATTTCTGTATTTGTATTATTGTTTTTGCGAGAAGAGAAGTTAAATGTTTAGTCATCAAAAACTCAAATGCAGCCTTGCCGGTGCTGACGGGGCAGCGATCTACCGGCGTGGCGCTGTGTAGTATCCATTTGTGTGAAAGTGAAACCATTCATAATTTGCTTTGTTTAGACACCGCCCAATCCTAGTGTGATCACCACGTGTACAGTAAAGAGCCCATGGAAAATACCGCTCTATATTTGGACAATGAAAGTGTATTTTGGCCTTTTTGTTCAGAGGTCTTTACTTTACTTTACTGAAAAGATGCTAGAAAAGCCTAGACTACTGAGATCAGATCTATTTCTTTTCTATATCAGGCTGTTCTATACACAGTGCCAGGGGAACGTGATGTGATTAATATCGGTGGGATAAAAAAACTACTTCACACTCAATGAAGATGAGGCATAATGAGTCATGCTAATGCTGGAAATTAAGTGTATGTAGATGTACTCAAGATATTGTTCTACAGTTCTAGTGACTATTCTAGATCATAGAATGAGAGATGTTTCTAAATTCTAGTCTCTAGTCTAGATGATCATTCATCTGGATTCTGGATCATACACGTGTAATTTTGATCAGTCATCATGGTCATTCAAACGTCTTCATTGGCCACGTTCTGAAAATGTCCATTAACGTAGGTCTTCAACCCCAATCATGAGTCATGAAGATGCAATGGGTAGGGGAATAGTATTAGTAAATAATCGTCAAGTAGGCTACAATAGTACAGACTACAGTACAAGAGATTATCTGAGAGTTGAAAAGTTTGGGGGGGGGGGGGAGGGGCAATTCCTTTTTAAAAACCCAGTCGGAAGTTTAAAAAAAATGAAATAGGCGTACCGGTAGATAAATTACATCATTATCTGTGGACAGCTTATGTCAGCCATAGATTACAATACTATCAAGATATGCTATTTTAAGATGTAGTGTCTGTCAGAGGAGTAACAGCTTTCTGAAAACTCAAAAATCTGAAGCTTTGAAAATCAGAAGTTATTGACTAACTAACTTGACTTGACTTGAAAATTGACTCGATGACATCATCTTATGTGGAGTACACATATTCACAATGACTTTGCATAAGTTAAGCACAGCTCATCGTCTCAGCTATTAAAAAGGTGAGCCACTTGGGTCCACATGTTATGCCCTCACAAATACTAGAGCAAATTTGACCTCGAATTGGTGTTTTAAAAACAAATAAACCGTTCTTGTACAGCGCTCATCACATATGTCCTAGATGTGCTTCCAGAAATCATAACTTTGGATATTATTACTCTGGCTTGAGGTGTAATAATAATAGGTACAAAGGTTTCGTTTAAATGCCACATCATGATTATCATTTAATACATAATAGTACAGGTCAAATCAAGCAAACAAGATCCAATGGCCTACATACATGTACATGAATCATATGAATACCGGTGTTGTAAATGTACAACTGTACATGTATTATGTATTTCATTGTACATTTTTTGCCTGATTTTTGCTGATAACTTTCTTGCTCAGTTCTGTTAATGAGAGGCTATAATCTGGGCTAATTTAATGGTTTTATAAGATCTCCACCTTATTCCTTATAATTCAAAAAGATGAGAGATTGTTGTGATTACAGTATGGCTTGTTGGGAATACAGTATGTGTTGAACAAAAAAGCAAAGCAAAACAAAACAAACAGACCATTTATTACGAGGATACCAAATACATACATGTATATTTGTTTATACATGTTCTTACTTATTCTTTGTTGCTGTTATGAGTTTATGTTCATGATGTTGTAATTGTTGTTATTATTAATATTTTTTGGGGATGTGAACTAAATTTTGTTCCCTATTTTGATTAACAGGGCCTCATGGAAGACCACCATTATTGGTGATAATGAGTCACCCTGTCTAAATATCAGAACGAAATAAATAAATTATATCACACATGGCTGAATGATGCATCATCAATGTGACCCATCACCTGGGATACATACACAACTGGAATTATCTCCAAAATGTCCCCCAAACCGTCTGAATTTGATTATGATGAGGCAGCGAAGGCACGCTCCACCACCGTGACACTGTGTGAGCCAAGAATTAGTCATCTAATGGGCAGAGTAATGGAGATGAAGCCATGCGAGTCGAGTAGGGTCATGACATCTTTTGTTGACTGGCTCGTGGGTGGCAACTGGCAGACCCCACCAAATTCAAGTTCATTGTGTTACACCAGGGGGGTGTTTCACAAAGATCCTAAGCTGAACTTATCTCCAAGTTAGACTTAACAATTATTGAAAGCCATTAGCATGATCTATGAAAATATTTTGTAAAAGTTATATAAAATCTTGCTTCAAATCGTTCATATTTTCTATTATCAAGGAGATTTCATGTTCTCGATGTGGAGTTTATGAAAAATCTAAAATACTTGAATGTTTGCGCTTGAATATATTTTATTTTAAGGCTACAAATGGCTCTCCATAATGTTTAAGTCCAACTTAGAGTTAAGTTTGATTCAAATCTTTGTGAAACACCCCCCAGTATTGGTGAAGCTGCTTTGTTTGAATTTCAGATAAGAATGATTGAGCATAAAAAACATAAAGACATGTAAGTTTACTTGGCCACCATCCATGTTTTACGTCATCATAAACAATGCCCGTATGTGCATGCCAAGCTATTATATAGACATGTTCATCAAAATGAACCCCCAAACCATTGACGTTACTCACCCTATCTGTTTTGTTATTTTCACTGGATCAATAATTGACAACAAAGTTCAAATTCCACGGTCAATACATGAATGTCATGAGTAGGGGCCTATCATATGAACGATTCCGTCAAGTAACATGTAGGGGCCTACACGTGTACATGTACATGTATGTATTTAGAAATATATTCATTTTGTACTTCTATTGTAGGTCTATACAAGACGTACAGTATTCTAGAAAGTACTAGCTGTTTGCGCCCGTTAAACGGGCGCTCTTTGCTGTGGCAGCCATTTTGCGTTCGTCAGCGGCATCAAACTTTTCAGCCTTTAGCTTCCGTAATCAATGAAATAAGCTAATAAATATCAAATTAAGACTTGACTGATTTAAATTTAAAATATTATATTTTAATTAAAAATAAGCTAATAAATATCAAATAAAGACTTGACTGATTTAAATTTAAAATATTTTATTTTAATTAAAAATATTGATTGATATTCATAAATTTCTGTGTTTGCGTGGCGAGCTTCTTTTCGGTCATTTTCTTCGCGTACGCAAGAAATACAGCTCCGTTATTCATGAATGAGGTATCAAGTTGACCGGGATCATTGTCCGAATACCTGTAAGAAACGTCAATGAAATATATCAACCGGTTCAATTTAAAAAAAATAAAAATTCACTTCAGCTCAGAAAATACAGCATCTGCTGCAATTACGGCCGGTTTTAAGGCCCAGAGTTCTGGGGAAGAAAAGGGCTAGAGATAGCTATGATTACTGATTAATTTTTTTGCATTAAACATCACATCCTATTTCTACTACATCACATCCTATTTCTACTAATATTCTAAAGCCTTCAAACTTCATGCATACCTTAAATTTCTGTGACCGCGCAGCGCAGACTCTAGTAATAAATAAAAATGATTATCGAAATTTAGCATACAACTATACATGGACAGAATAATCACAATCTAAGCTCAGGTTTCATACCTCTATAGTCACGAAACTATATTGAAATATGCAATAAGAGCAATTTCAAAATGTTGTCGAGAATAGCTCAGCTCAGCTCACCTCACCTCACACACAGTCACAGTTCCGACAGTGCTCGGCAGCAGTGGCGCACTGCACTGCCCGTGCCTCATGGCAGCTAGCTTGCAACTGAACTGTCAGTTACGATGAATTTCTTGTGAAAACTTTACTTTGAAGAATGATTTTCAAAATTCAGTAAACATGAACAGGATAATACCAAAGTAACCCTGCTTGCATACCTCTATTCACGTAAACTATATATAAATCACGGCAATCATCATAGAATCAAAGACGAAGCGACTGAGCTGTGCGTGTGACGGTGAGCGTAGAATCATCGCATACATTATACACGTACGTTCGTACACGCAGCAGGTCCGGCTGGCCTACAAAACATATCATATAAAAAGACGCATAACACGGGTAAGCCCAACCCGTGAGAGCGTGCATTTCTTACATCCCCTCACCCGGGTGAGTCATCTGTTAATGTGTATTTCTCTTACATGCTACAAAGCGTATCCTATAGCAAGAGGCCTAAACTCGGGGTAAGCCACAACCGTTACTACGTGATGTGCTACATCCATTGACAGAGTAGATTCTCGTCCGCTGTGTGTCTCTTTGTTGATTGCACAGAGGGCGGATGCACGCCTTGCCGACTCGCTCTCGCGGGTTCGTCGCCTCCTTGCAATCCGCGACGCCCGCCGTGCCCTCGTCCGCCCGTCCTCCCCGGGACCCCGAAACCGCCTTTATCGACGTCGACGGCGACCGCGACCGAAGATCGAACGGGGACGTGGCCAAATGGGTAGATTAAAACGTCGTCCGTCCGCGGGACCGCCCGGCGGCAACCCGGGGCGGGCGGGAGGGGAGATTTGGGCGCTGTAAAATGGACCCCAGATACCCCCCTCGACGCCTTAGAGTATTATTATATAGATAAATGAGATCACCCTGATCTGTACGTGTACTTATAGTCAATGGTTTTTCAGGGCCGGTTTGATAATAGCTAAAACCTTTGTCAAAAGTAATTGTGTGGGAAACAAGAAAGCCTTACTGCTTATTCTTTGTGCATGTATTTGCACTTTGCTCCTCTATTTGTACTGTTCTGTGTAGTATTACTGGCATGGGTCAGTGTTTCTCTCCATTTATTAGCAGTGTTTTAAGTACACAGGAGGCTTACACTTACGGTTTACATCTGCACATGCATTGAGGTGTTGTTGTTGATACCACTGTTCTGTAACCCTTGATGGATAAACCA